GGTATGAAGCTCCATCTAGGGCCAGTGTTTATCGATGGTACAGTGAGTTCACCCGAGGTCGTAGTTCACTCGAAGAAGAATTTCATGGAGGTCGTCCAAAAACAGTTGTTGTTCCGGATGCTGTGCACAAACTCATATTGCAAAACCGTCATGTGACCTATCATGAGATTGAGGCAATCTTGGGCATTAATGGGACTGGCTTATATTCAAAATTGCATGAACATTTGACATTAAAAAAATTGTTCTTGAAAAATTCGTCAATCCCCCAAAAAAGAGACTCGTGTCGATTGGTTGGAAGAAATACTCAAAAAATACGATCGCGGTGCTTCGAAACACGTCTGTGACGTCGAGACAGGTGGTGGATCATGGATTTATGCGTATGAGCCCGAAAGGAAACAGTAGTCGACCGTACGGGTATTTCAAGATGAGCCAAATCCAACAAAGGCTATCCGCGCACCAAGCACTTCCAAGCAATTGATCTCCTGTTTCTTTGGGAAAACTGGACATGTCGCAACCGTACCACTAGGACAAGCAGAACAGTCAATTCTGAGTGGTATACCACCATTTGTTTGCCAGTTGACTTCCAAAAAATCAGGTAAACCAACTGCTCAAGACGGATCACTCTTCACCACGACAATGCGAGCGCCCACACATCGGCTCAAACAACTGCATTTTTGAGCACTCAAAACAACGATTTGACAGGTCATTAGCCATGTAGTCCCCGGGTGACTTCTTCTCATCCCATACGTAAAGAATAAAAGGAGAGGTCAACGTTTTTCGACACCTGAAGGAACTGTTGATGCGTTCAGAATCCATGTTTTGAGTTACCTACATCAGAGTGGCAAAAGTGCTTCAAAAACTGGTTCGAGCTCATGCAAAAGTGTATAGATCTTAATGTGGAGGATTTTGAGAGGCAGCAAAACGATTTTCAATGAATAGTATTTGTTTCTGTTCTCAAATCTCAAAATAGAAAAGGCAACCTACGTAGGAGTCGCTCAAGATACCCATTTCTCCGATTATTTTACTAATTTCAAAGTAAAAGTCCACTAACTAATTTTTCGGGCGATTTTAGGGAATAAACTGATGAAAGAAAGATACTCTTCTGTCAACGGAAAAAAGTAGAATCAGGACTCAAAAGGAAGCAAGGGTTCCTTAACGATTGTATGAAACATCTGAACTTGCACTGCACTGTGATTACACTACTAGGAGGTAATTATACACAGTAGGATATGTTGCGAACGAATGCAGCAGGGGGCAGGATGCCCGTTGGCTCCGGTACAAAGTGAACTATATAGAACTAAGCTTGGTCCCTGGATTCCTGGTTTGAAGCTTTCATCAATGAGGTTAACGGAAAAATTCTCGGGTGTTTGTGTCTTACAATTAGTGTGAAAAAAGGTGTGGCACTTGAAGAGCTTAAACAACTGCTCTATGATCTACCGTGTCTTTTAGGGCTATTTTCAGATACGACAATCAAGAGAGAGTATAAAAGAGTCCCGTCAGATAATGAAGAAACAGGACGTAAAGAAAAAACAAGAGCGACATGCTGCTAAGGAGTTCGTAAATCCAACCAGGATGAAAAGACCGCAGGGAGAACAAGAAGAAGAGGTTTTGAGATTTCCGCCACCCCCTGTACCCACAAGCACAACGTCATCTACTACACGCCCTCCACGTCCGATGCCAGAAGAATCGTCGTTTTTCTCAGCATCAGATTCACGTTCACTAGGAAGAAGCTACCACAGAAAAGCGAAACGCAAACGCGGTTCACATAGAAAATCAGCAGTCCTTCAGCCTTCCTTCCAGCCAGCTGAACCAAAGATGTCATATTTGGATCAACAGATTGCTCGAAGACGTGTCAAGAAAACACCTGAGGTATGTACACAAAGTTGAAGAATTTATAGGCTTTTGCCTTGTCTGCATGTTTTTGGTGTGACTTTTTTCTCCCGGCTGGTGGCTCAGTATGTTACATTCTTGCGTTTATTGCGCCCTCACGGGTCCCTACAATACATGTCGCTTACACTGAGGTATAAACTATTCCTACGGAAAAGGTGAGCGAAATGACTTTTCAATGACTCGGAAGCTCCGCCTGTTCTCTAGGCCTCTGTGGATGGAACACAAAATAGGAAAGAGCAGCTGCATAGGATCTGAACTTCACAACAAATTTCAAAGTCCTTGAATATGAAAAGTAAATCCTTTAATCAATCCCGTCTGAGGGATGCCCCCCGCATTCGACTTCTATTCAGAATTGTAGGGGCGTATTGAATGCGTATGTTGTCTATATAATGGATTGCGGTGGCCAGCTAATGTACAAATCAGTGCTTTTTTATCCTCCCAGTCGAGGCTGGTACGTACCAATTAGACGACTCCGAAGGAATGGAAAGCTCGGTCGCCTAGGCAGATATATTTATTTATTTATTTATTTATTTATTTATTTATTTATTTATTTATTACATGACGTGAGTCATGTGGCATAATCAGTCAGTAAAAAAAGAAAAACACAAACTCCAAGAACAAAAGCACACAGTAACCACACTTATGTAAGAG